TTTTAACTTATAAATTCATAAATTAAAAATATATATTTAAATAAATTTAACAAATTAATTAACGTAAAAACTAAAAAGACAAAAAATAGTCTGTAGAGTCGGAAATTTTAGCAACAAAGGAATTTGATCATTGGAATTTGGAAGGGGTTACCATCAATGTCACGAAGGAATTGGATACATAAGCGTAATCTACACAGGCTGGGCCTGCTGCATTAAAAAAAAAAAAAAACAAAATAAATGGCCAGGAAAATTGAATACTTCAACGTAGAAAAGGCATTTGCATATCGTGGCAGTACGTTGACGTTCTTCACTACAACATATTTGAAAATGAGACTCAATGAAATTTGGTTGGAAGAAACTATAATAAACAATTCAACGGTTGAGCAAACATGTTAGTAGTCTCACCTTGGAGGATAATCTCCCAGCTGCTATAATGGAAATTTGCCTTCCTCAAATTACCATAGTAAAGGTTTCTTAATTATTGAGATTAGCATGGTTTACAATATTTTGCTTTAGCAAATCAACCCTGAACTCAAAGAGGCATATCGTTCGTTTTTCTCATTTGAATCTTTAATTTCTAAGTCCTAATGATATAGGGGGCTGGTAAGGTCAATAATAGTGTTTCATCACACCATTTAATTGTTGTTAATTTTCACACTTTAGTTTCAAGCATCCCAAAAGGAGTTACAAACCTGGAGTATCATTAATTGGTATCACAGTTTAAAAAAGAAAAAGAAAAAAGAAATAAAAATTGAAGACTCAAAACAAAAAATAAAAAGGGGAAAAGAAAAAATGAACTGGGAATCCAATTTTCCAGTTCAAGAGAGAAAAAGGAAAAATGTCCTGTTTATGTTTTGAGAATAAATTATATCAAATATATAGAATTGTTAATTGAATTATAAATTATCAAGATAGAGTCAATGAAAAAAACATAAAATAATTTTTAAAAATCATCAAAATTAACATATGTACCCGAAACCATGAAAAGAGATATATAAATAATTCATAATTCATCAATCATCACATTAACATAGAAATCTAACAATGTGTAATAAAAAAATTCCAACAATCAAAACAAAAATGTTTTCCCAACCATTTTCATTTCTGAAATAAAAAAATGAAAAAAATATAATTGTTTCAAGTTAAAATAATATAAAAGTAAAAGTTGAAAATCCAAAACAAAGTAATGAAAAATAAATATCAGAATAGAAAATACTGCCTGACTTTTGACCTTCTTAACCCAAAAGAAAACGTGATACCCAATAGATCTCAAATGTCAAATGAGATTAGAACAATATAACAGCCTGTATGACTTACCCAATTAGCCCAAGAAGACCGATTTTGCAGATGATGGAGGTGCTGAGTGGAGAAACTATTCTTGATCTGCAACAAAACAAGAGAAAATCAGTGAAATTTCTTGGATTTTGGAGAGTAATAAAAGAGGGAAAGCACAGAAACAGAGACCTGAAGGAGAAAAAGGGAGCAGGGAGGAGACGAAGAGCAGCTATGCCATAAGAACAAACTATGAAGATTTGGTTGCTCATCCCCTTCATAGTAGCAGCCTTGAACA